TGCAAGGAAGAGACGATCTGAACTGATCTTGGCCACTGGAGAAAAAGTATCACCATAATCAAGGCCAAGTATTTGTGTATATCCTTTGGCTACCAAACGAGCTTTGAAACGATTAATCTGACCATCTAGTCCAACCTTTACTGTATAAACCCATCAACATCCTAATGTAGTTTTGTCATAAGGTAAAGTAACAATATCCCAAGTGTTATTTAAATGCAATGTAACCATTTCTTCCACCATCGCCTAACGCCAATTGGGATCAGTCATAGCCTCACCTGTAAACTTAGGAATAGATACAGAATCCAAAGCAAACACAAAAGACACATAGAAAGTAGAAAGACAGTCATAATTTAAAACACATGCATATTTAGGATTTGGAGTATGAGATCATATACATTTTCATAATGCTATTGGGAGGTCAAGTTCAGGTGATGTAGCTGGAGGAAATTTAGAGCAGGAGGTGGTGCTGATGGATCGATATCATCTCTAACTTCTGATGGATGGGGTGTCCGTCGTTGGTAGACCTGTAATGGAGGTTTAATGGGTGTGGGGATGAAAGAAGGGACATCTTAAGCATCTAAGTTACAAGTCTCATCGGGTGACACAGAGGCAGAGAAAAATAGGGAACCTTCAAAGAATGTAACATCAGAGGAAACAATGTACCGTTGAAGTTGAGGACAACAACAACAATATCCTTTTGTATATGTGAGTAGCCTAGAAAAACACATTTTAGAGATTTGGCAGAAAATTTGTCTTTACTTGGACTAAGATCATAAACAAAGCATGTGCAACCAAAGACGCGAAGCGGAATGGGGTAGAAGTCATGTTGGGGATTCAAGATAGAGTATGGAATTTGATCTTGAAGGACCGATGAAGGCATTCAGTTGATAAGCTGACAGGCTGTGAGGAGAGCATCTCCCCAAAAAACGAGAAGGTACACTATGGTGAAGTAAAAGAGTCTGTGCGGTTTCAACTAAAAGACGATTCTCCCGTTCAGCAACACCGTTCTGTTGTGGTGTATGAGCACATGATGATTGGAGAATAATTCCTTGTGATGTTAAAAAAAGATTGAAACTGGGATGAAATATATTCACGAGTATTATGAGTGCGTAAAATTTTAATGGAAGTGCTAAACTGATTTTTAATTTCAGCATAGAACTCTTGGAATATAAGAAAACATCAGAAAAATTTTTCATTAAAAATAACCTAGTACATCGTGAAAAGTCATCGATGCAACACTTTTATTTACTCGTTGAGAGTAAGTACTATGAGCATGTTTGCCTAATTGACACGACTGACACTTAAAAGATGAACGCTTAGAAAAACCAGGAACTCTAAAAGACGCATTTTATTAAGACTAGGATGAACCAAACGTTAATGTGTAAGGTCTTGAGAAGCAATTAAACCACATGTCACTGGTGGAGATATATGATATAATCCTCCAGCTTAACTCCCTACTCCAGTCATCCAGAATTATCATTAAAAATGAATGAACAATCAAGAGTACGAGTAAGCTTGTGAACAAGTATCAGATTAAAAGGACAACCATGAATGTAAAGAACAAACTCTAGAGACAAGTTTGGAAGTAGGTGTGCCTGACCAAGGCCTTGAACTTTGATTTTAGAACCATCAGCCACGGTGACAGAAGGAAAAGAATCAAAATAAGACAAGTGAGATAAAAGGGATTTATTACCAGTCATATGATCAGAGGCACTAGAGTCAAGGACTCAAGGACCAAGAAAAGATGTAGATACAAAGGCTACAGGATTACTCGACTGAGCAACAATGAAAGATGATGATGGTTGATGGGCTGCTTTGAATTGGAGAAAATTATTGTAATCAGCGGCGGGAATAGTAATGTCTTTAGTCTTGTCTAGTTGAGTGACGGTAGCGACCTGTGGTTGTCGTTGTTCTTCTCTTGCCTTTGTACGACAATTAGCTTCAATGTGACTGTAACGGTTATAATAGTTACAACGAATACCATGATGTTGTCCACCCTTTCCTCTTGTTCTTCCACCACGACCATGATAGTGGGAAGCAAGAACAGATGATTCAGTGGGAGATGGAGTGGAAACCGGTCCAAAGGCGTGAGATGTAGCCAAACGCAACAGTTGTTCACCAACTGCTTCATAGTTAGAAACATTGGATCCTGATAAAATCTGATTTCGGACGAAATTAAGCTCTAATGGTAGTCCGACAAGTTCCACGATCATGAAATACTTACTTTGTTGTTCAACATAAGTTGTTGGATCTTTGGTAAAGGGCATTAGGGTTGTGAAATTTGTCTTTAACACATCAAACTTACTCAGATATGCTTGCATATCCATATTCTCAAATTTCAAAGAGTTGAGTTTGATGATGACACTGTAAAGATCGTGGACATCATTGGAGAACACTTTCTTAGCCTTTTCCTTTTCCCAAACCTCATAGCAAGTGGTAAAGGCTTGGTATTGTGCTTGGAGATTAGTTGCTATGGAAAACCATAACACCGTGCATAGAGAAACATCTGTTTGTTTCTACTTATCGCGTTTGGCGGCAGGAATATTTTCTGATTATTTAGTTAAGTGATTTTCATGTCCTTGACCATGAAACCACATTTTGACAGCACCAGCTCATATATTATAGTTGGTTGTTCTGGTGAGTGTTTCACACAGGATAAGTGGAACCTCCGTAAAAGTGGCGGAATCGATATCTCCCATGATTTTTGGTTGCTTGGATAGAAAAATCAGAGCAGATATGGAAAGAGCACAGGAAGACGGTGTCGGCGATAAAAACGGCGGCGGCGAGAAGCGCTGTCACACATGGAGATAAGGGTGGCGCGTGATATCTACGCACAGACGGTGGCAAGGCACATCGTAAGGCGAATCGCGGCGACGATTTTGGGTACCGGCTGATTGGAAGGAGACGATGACGGCGGTATGGTTACTTCGCCGAAAAAGCCGTCGAGAGCGGTGGTGCGCTCGTGTAGTGCTGTGAATGACCGAATATTCTGCGAAAGCGAAAAAAATATTTTGGAAGACAGTGAGTCAACCAGCTCTAGATACCATGTTGTGATATTATTTCTGTGTGTTGAATATGATCACACATGTTGTATATTTTATATCCAAAATAGGTATACACAATAGGTAATAACATAATTTACACTTATGACTAATTGAATACAAATCAATACTAATTGATTTGTAACTGATTCTCAACATAGCGCTTAATGTTTCATAACAACTCCAATCGTCTTCCACGTTGTATGAATCTGAAAAACTACAATGAGAATAAAAAAATATACCTTCACAATTATCATCTTTAGTAAGCTTACAAATAGAGACAATATTGTTCGATAGACTAGGAACATGAATCACATATTTTAATTTAAAAGATTGAAGATCAATGTCTCCACGACCATCAACCAGAATATGAGAACCATTTGTAATAATAATAATATATGTAATGTCGGAAGGAAAAATTTCATGTGATGAGTGACATCTAAATAAAGGATCCAAGCACTTTTTGCGCTAGTATTAGCAATATTAAAGATGAATATCACAATAGAACTACTTTCAACTATATTGGTTGATAATTGTAAAAGTTTCTTCTCAAGAGAACAAAAAGAAAAAGGTCTTAGCAAAGAGGCGTGAAAACTTCGTTGCAATTTTTTTCTTCTTTTTAAACGGAAAATAAATAAATTGGATGAGCGTGTACAATGTCGTTAGAAAGAATAGTGCTGAGGTACAATAAGTGTCGTCGGGATGAAAAGTACCGACACATGATAAGTGATCTCATATGAATAATACCAACATAACAATGATCCTTGATGAACAATACTGACACATGCACAATGATCACGAATAAACAACACCGACACATGAACAGTAATCACAAATGAATAATACCAACATGTGAAGAGTCAGCGCCTTGGAATTTTAAACTGCCCGTGTTTAAGACGAAAACAAAAACAAACCGAAATGATGGAGGTTAAGGTTTAAAGGAAAACAAAATCTCTAAAGTCGGGAGCTTGTAATATGTTATTAGAAATTTGTGAACTATTATGGATGAAACAAGTGTTAGAAGATTTGAAGATATAATGTGAAGGCCCTGTGAAGTTATTTTGTGACAATAAGTCGACCATCAATATTTCGTATCATATGATTCAACATGACAAGACAAAACACATTAAAATTGATAAATGTATAACAAAAAGTTTACCAATAGAACAATTCAACCAAATTTACTTACAAATTTAGAATGATTGATATTTATTCATCAACTTAAAGAAAAATATTGTGAATATTAAACTATAATAATAACATTTATAATTATTTTATTAGTACGAGACCCATTAAATTCGTCCATTATTTAAATTTATCTCTCTTTAACCTAATTTATTCTCCTATTATAAACTACAAGTTTCAAATACATTAAAATATTTTTTCTACAAAACCTTGAATGATCTACCATGATGATCTCATATCAATAATCGTCCACTAGTAGAGATGTAGGTGTTGAACTTTGCTTGGGGACACAAAGAAGAGGCTTACCAAGATTGCATGTATGTCTAGCATAAATTATTCATTCCAAGAAGTTGACATGTGGTTTCATGTTCTCATGATGTGATTAAGAAGTTCAAAAACAACAACACCACTAATTAAATATAGGTGAACATACTAAATCACACCTAAACTCTAAAACATTGTTTATAATATCCATTTCCACATTAAATATAACTTAATCCAATCATAGAGTATATATAATTCACAAGAGAATATTTATATTAACTTTCACACTATATAATATAATAAAATCAACATAAAAAACACATATTTTCCCTTATGACTTTCTACATGACATCAATTGAAACTAGAAATAAATGAGTATCAAACAAAAACTAAGGAAAACAAATCTACATGCCCTTTCATTGTTCCTAAGAGCTTCGTTAACACATTCACGCACCCTTTTTCTTTATATCTGAATTTAAAACACTTCAATTGGAATAGTTATCATGTTGTTCAAGAACCTACACCCTTTGGACCAAAAGTTGCAACAGCATCACCTACTGTTAGAAATATTTTATCTTCCCCAATTAAGCTTGATAACTCTGATGCATGAAGCTTCTCAATTACAATCGGTCCCGGATTCGCCACAAGAAGCTGTCGAAAATATCACAAACATGAGAAATTATTTATTTAGTACAAGTTAATGCAGTTGTTTTATGCATTACAATAGTATCATTACTATAGATACATTTCTTGGCACACAAGCAATTCATCGATTTTTTCAAGGACTACGATGAACTTTGTGATTGATTAGTACCTGGACACTTTTTTTCTTGAGGCTCTTTAGTAAATCTTCTAAGGCATGAATGCCACTAGTGTCAATATCAGTAACAGCTGCAACAAAATGGTTGCATAATTAGTAAATTCAGTTATCGAAATCGATCATGAAAAGAGTATTTCATCGATAGCCTTACGCGACATTTCAACGATGAGATACTGTATACTGGCGAATTCACTTGCTGTCCTTTGAGCCTCTTCATCAGTCAGCCACTTCAATATTCTGTAAAATATGTTTCACTCATTCATCAGCCTCATTTTCATCGAAAACGAAAGGTTTAAATATCTCTTCGGTCCAAGCAAATATAGAAATGTTTGGTTATACCTGTCCTTGATGTAGTTGGAATTTGAGAAGTAGATTGCAGAATCAACCCTGACGATGAGCATGCCGGGAATCTGAGCCGCTTTGGGATATTGCAGGACGTTCCGATAAACAGTTGTCCCTGGAAGCTTCCCGAGCACCACAGTCTTTGGCCTCGTTACTTGTAAGAGAATTTTGGCAAAAGATATTGCCACCTGCATAAATAAAAATGGTTTTAAATCGCAGTTGCAATAATATCGCGATACTCAATATCTAAAAGTATTTGATATTTTGATTACCGCGATTAGAAGACCAATCTCAACACTTTTGAAGATGACACCAAAGAAGGCTCCCATGCAAGCTAGAAAGTCGAATTTGTCAACTTTCCAAAGAAGAACAGCCGCTTTAATGTCGATAAGGCTCATCACAGCCGCTATGATAATTGACGCCAGCACTGCATTCGGAGTGTACTTGAATAGCGGTGTAATCACCAACAAAGTTAACAGCAACACTATGGACATAACTATGTTCGATACAGCAGTTCTACAACCAGCCATATAGTTCACAGCCGACCGCGAAAACGATCCTGCAAAATATCATAAACAAACACTCATTAAGATATGATGATTTACAAGATTCGGAATAGAAACTAAAACATGATTCATTGAATTAGTCCTCTTTTTTATACCTGTAGCTACATAACAAGATGTTAGTGAACCAATAACATTCATTGTTCCTAGTGCCACCATTTCTCTATTACCGTCCAACGAATAGTCTTTCATAGCAGCAAATGTTCTTCCAATAGCCACAGCTTCCTATAAATTTTTTTAAGAAAACTGGCTGAAATTTCCTATAAATGTTTATGAAACAAAAGAGATAAGAAAAATTTCTATAAATTCACGTACCGTGAGTGCTACCATACCCGAAATCAGACCAATCCTAATACCAGCACTAAGATATTTTCCACTGAAAAATATTTCACCGGCCGATATTGGATTCAAACCATCTTCAATATGTTTCACCTGAAACACCATAATGATTTTTGAGTCTTAAACAGTGCTTCATTTTGTTTGAAACTAATTAGCTTTTTACTACTTACAATTGCTACTCCTTTCTTGTCTGCCCTTGTAATGTAAACAGAAAAAGTAGAGACGATAACGCATATCATAGGAGAAATTGCAGCCACCCAAAAGAGATTCTTTTTCTTCTTAGCCTATTCATTACAACATAATCATAATCATATATAAAGGTTCAATAAATGGAAATGAAGAGAGAAAGAGAAATTGTTGGCATTCTTACAATATATTTTGTTGTAAGAAGGAAAGCCAAGAATGATACTCCAATTAATATTGTCTCCCAATTCCACTGTAACCAAAGATTAAAACAACTTAGTTAAGTGCTTATAACATAGACGCTTAAATAAGTGCTTGCGTAACAAGTTATCATAAGTTGTTTTCGTAAGTTCTTCCATATAGACGTCTCACAAGTACTTATATCAAAGATGAAATAAGTCAATTTGAAAAGAAAAAGAAAGCTTACGCCGTGGTGGGCTGCACTAAAAACCGATCTCATGACAGAAATAATATCAGTTTTTTTAGTGAAATCTTTTATGCCAAGAAAACCTTTAAGCTGTTGGAGTGCAATAGTAACGGCCGCTCCCGCCATGAATCCCACAATTGCAGCATGAGATAGGAAATCAATCAAGAAACCGAGTCTGCAAAATTCATCTCATATGGATTATAATATGAATCATTTTACTACCAATCCAAATATCCAAAAACAGTACCTTAATAGGCCAAGTGCCATTTGAGTGACTCCTGCAAAGAAAGTCGCAGTAAATGCGAGACGCAGATATTCATGACTATTGAAGTTAGGAATTTCATCTGTCAGCAAGGTGCCAAGCAAGAGAGACACAACAGCTACTGGTCCTATAGCAATATCTCTTGAGCTTCCCATGAAAGCATACACAAGAGGAGCAACAAAACTTGTATCTACAACAACAAAAAATACCAAGTCGCCGTCGTCGTCATCATCATCATATAACTGATCTAACATGTCAAAATTGATTATAGAAAAAATCAAGATGCTTACATAGTGCATACTGTGGGTCCAAAAATGCAAGCTTTGCATATGCAATATCCTGTTATATGCATTCACATTTCAAAGGGTGAATAAAAGCCAGAAACAAATTTGTAGTATGCAATAGCCTGTTATATTATACTAACCTGAGGAATGCAAAGACTTGCAATGGTGAGTCCAGCAATCAAATCACCCTTGAAACTCTTCAAATTGTAGCCTCTTCCCCATTCGAAAATCGGGAAAATAGACTCGAGTCCGAGAATAAACTTTCTCGATCCTTTTTGGTTCTTAAACTTGCCAAAAGGGTCATCTGAGAAGAATGTTTCATTGAAATTATGTTTGAACTCTTGGAAAAGTGTTTGCCTAGGAGGAGATGTAACTTTGTGCCTATGTGGAAGAATACTTTCAGCATGTCTACGTGAAGAAGGATTGCTATTTATTTCCTCAGTGGTTCTTGCCACAACTCCATCACTAAAAACTTGACTCATTTTAATCAATCACCTGCAAAAAAACCATACACTGATTAATCATCATGCAGAAAACACAAAGAAAGTAGCTTTTGTAATGTATAGTAGCAAAGTCAACTTATTAGAAAAGTATAGGTAGCTGCATAAGCACATTTTCTCATGTGAAGTTTAGCTTAAAATAATGAATCATTTTGAAAAATAATTGAATCCAAAATGTGAAAGTACCAAAGCAAGTGATGTTACTAGACAAGAGTGGATATGAAATTTGAAATAAGACATTGCTATATATAGAGTTTGGAATGTGAAAGGTTTTAAATAAATATTGTTATAATTCTGTTAATTGATCCAAGTGTGTCAAAATATTTGTTTATCAAAGTCAACCATTAAATTTATAGTCAAGTTGTTCTACGAAAATAGTTTTCCTTTATCTTTCATTTTTATTATGTAAGTTTTTATTTATCATTTTTAGGTTGTCACTCTAAAACTATCAATATCAAAAAGTTAGCTCTTAAAAGATTAAACAATAGATATATTTTTTTATGTAGGTCGACCAAATATATAATATCTAAGACTAGATGGTAATTTATAGTTTTATCTTATTATTTAAATGAATTAATTTTTCAATTAATAAATGTAATTGAATCGAATAGATATAAATTATAATATATTATTATATTAAAAAATTATTAACAACGATAAGAACGGTTAATTTTGTAGGATTTGAGAAACGGCCGTCGAAAGAGTGAGTATAAGAGGATTACTATCTTCATTGTCGTTTATGGTTTTCAGAGTATGTTAATTGTCTAATATGGAGACACTTAAATAGTTAAACGGCTGAGGAAAGAGATATTTCATTAGGCTTAACTGAATGATCCAACTCATCATGGTCCATTCAAACACAAAACTCAATCAAACAATTCATCTATTTAGTGTTTAATAACAATAGATCATACTATAATTAATTAATAATTAATTATGTCAATTCATATTTGATTAATTAAATAACTAATCTAACATTTCGGTGTTACAATCATAAATACAAGACTAGTATTTTGTTCGTAAAAATACAACTGAACCATATTGTGGTGGTTATCTCCTTCAGCACCTCAAATTGTTACCCATCAATCAATTGGGCCTGGTGGTCGTTTGAGCCAAACTCGTACCTCACAGTGCTACACTAGCTGGAACCCATCCACCCCATGCCTCTCTTCTGTTACTAATAATCATATTCAATAAACTTCACTTTGACGAATATCAAATACATATGAAGATTTTCTGCATGACATCTACATCCTGACAATTGAGAGGTATAAAACATATTTAATACTCAAGAAACATGTAACAAGTTCAAGAATAATGTTTGGAATTGTATTTGATGATTGACTTGGTAACCATATTAGATACATTCTTTGAAGTGTGAATTTTTTCAAATAATATCTATTTAGATGCAAGTAACTTTTTGTTTCTTAAGAAACCTCACATCAATATTACAATTCTTGGTCCTGGAGTGATACACCGAACTATTTTCCAAATATATGCCACTCTAAATATTATAATGCAACTAAATCCATCTTATTCAACATTCAATTTCCTAATCAATTATGTAATTCATAAGGCTTGTTTGGCATCCTCATCTACTGCTATGTACTCTGATTTAGTTGTAGACATGACTGTTATGGATTGAATTGATGATTTCCAACAAATAGGTCTACATGTGAGAGAAAAAAACATATCCTATTGTAGATCTTCTATCATTCATATCACATGCATAGTCTGAATAAACATATCTTACAACTAAATGATCACTTTATCCAGTAATAAACATGATACCATGATCTGTTGTATCTTTCAAATACCTTAAAATCATCTTGGCTACTGCCCAATCACTCTTACCTTATTTGAAAATAAACTTGCAAACTTAACTTACATCATGTGTTAAATTTGATCTAGTGAAAACTATAACACACACTAAACAACCAATGACATAAGGAACCCTTAAAGTATTTTGTCAAAGGGTGGGTGAGATAACTCAACCAATATGTGCTAGTTGAGTTGAATAGGTGTAAACTATTGGTCGAGAGTTCAATCTCTGGCGTCATTATTTATTTGAGTAGTGCTAATTGTTATGAAATAATTTGAAAAAGAAATACAAGAATGCACACATGTTACTATTTTAGTATAATTTTTCATTTATTATAAATTTAATTTTCTTTTTAATAGGAATCATGGGGTAGTGATAATAATTATTGGTTGAGATATTTGTGAAGATAATGATGACATCATTCAGGAAATTCTCATATGTAACTGACTTGAAAGCACATACGGAGAAGTGTAAACTTTACTTTGGAGGAACTCAAGAAACAAACCAACAAGCTATTATTGCAATAATGGTTTTACTATATTTACATTCCCCTTCAAATACTTGGGAGTTTCACTATCGAGCATAAAGCTTATAGTACATCAATGCAGACCATTTATGGATAGAATAGTAGCAATGATTAAACATTGGACTTCGAAATTATCAAGTTACGCGGGGAGATCATAATTGATTAAGAGTGTATTATTTGCAGTCACTGCTTATTGGATGCAAATTTTTCCTCTTCCACAAAAGGTGGTAAAACAAATTGAGGCTAACTGAATGAGCTATCTGTGGAGTGGAACTGATGAGATTAGTAGGAAAGCACTGTTAGCATGGGAAAAGATTTGTGACCCTAAAGTTGCATGGGGTCTCAATATAACATCTTTGGAGGATTGGAATCAAGCTACTACTGGTAAGTTGTTATGGAACCTTCAAGATAAATCAAATAAGCTTTGGGTCTGTTGGGTTTATGCACATTATCTGAAAGGGCATGATATTATGAGTTGGCAAGTGACCACAAGTTGTTCATGGATTGTGAAGAAATAGAAAGCTAGTGGGAAACACAAATTACTAGATATAAGTGATACAAAAAGGGGAGTATAAAACAGGAAACACGTATAAAGCTATTAGAGGTGATAAGGAACAAGTGAGATGGAAGAAAGTGATTTTCAACAACTATGCGCGACCTAAAGTCACTTTTATTCTCTGGATGGAACTCACGGGAAACTTCTAACAAAGGATAGATTAACAAGGTTTGGTATTATAAACAGATAAAGATTGTTGCTTTTGTGATCATGAAGAAACAATCGAGCATTTATTCTTTGAATGCAAAAGTACAAAAAATTGTTGGCAGGATATTATGAGCTAGTTGGGAATTCAGAGAAATCCCAGAGGTTGGAATGGAGAACGTGATTGGTTGATTAGAGAAACTAAGTAAAAAGGATGGAAAAGCCAAATTTTGAAAATAGTTGTTGCAGAAACAATTTACGAATTATGGGAATGGAGTGATATTTGCACAAAAGTGTATGGATCATAGATTGAAAGATTTGATTATACACAATGTTGTATGAACTGTAATATGCATAGGAAACTTACCCTTCATGTTAATGTACTGCAATATGCATATAATAAGTTACTAGAGTTATCTTCTCCTAGATCCTTTGGATCGACTATACTGAACTATTTTGGATAATAAGAAAGTAATGTTTTGACTAAAAAAAAAGAATGGTTGATATTTATTCTTGCCATTCTTGTTTTCACTTTTTCTTACAAATAAGCATTTTTCTATTTATTTATATTTATGTATTAATGTAAACACATTGAACAACTTTTAAAAAAAAGTGTTTTGTCAATAGAGCACTCATAAACTTCAAATTACTATGTCAAATTTATCTAGAACCTTTTTAACACATCTTTTCTGAGAAAGCCTTAACTTTCTAGAACTTATATCATTTTGAATTTCCATCCTAAAAATATTATTAACAACACATAAGACCACTATGTGAAACTTCTTTTCCAACAAAACTTTAAGTTTATTTGCATCATGTAAATGATTAACAACAATCAACACATCATCCTTGTACAACCATAGAAAAATAAATGAACCATAATCAATACTACTAACATAAACACAATAATCATACTTACACCTACTACAACCTATCACAGGCATGTATGAATAAAAATACTTGTATCACTGCCTTAGAGACTATTTTAAACGATACAAAAACCTCTTCAACTTACAAACTACCTTTCTAAGTATCAATAAAACCCTTTGAATGCACCATGTAAATATGCTCGTCTAGAATACCGTGAAGAAATGTTATCTTCACATCCATCTAATCTAACTACATGTCTCTATTGGCTACGAATGTTAGCATTTCCTTCATAGAAGTATGTTTAATGATCAAAGATTAAATATTATCACAGCCAATTCCCTTCTATTTAAAGTACCTCTATTTTATAAGACGACCCTTAAACTTTTCCCTTTATTTTAATGTTATTGTTGGTTTTCTCTTTTACACTCATTTGTAAATGATAGTCGTTCTTCTGTTAAAAAGCTAAACAGGCTCCCACGTCTTATTTTTCTTTAAGGACTACATATTATCCACCATATCACTCACCCATTTCTAGTTAGTTATAGCCTCTTAAAAGGTGAAAGGATATCCATAAATAGTAAGAAGTTCATAAGCTTTCCAAATTTTCATACCCATATCTTTTTTGTGGCTTTCTGATGATTCTCTTTGTAACCTACAAGAGAATAATCATGTACTCTACCTAAATCTTTAGGACCATATGGATTTCAGTATCAGAGTCTGGATCAACTTGTAGTTCAGGTACTACCCAAACATTACTCAATGGTAGTGTGTCAGTATCCACCTAAATCTCCTCATTATTGGAAGCTTCTCATTCATATGTTAACACATATGTTGCAACTAACTACTTCAAAGTGAATTGTTCATCAGAGGCAACATCTATATTGAATACCATTTTCTTTGAAACTGGATCCTATAACTAGAGCCCTTTCGCACCTTTTTCATAACCGGTGAACACACACTTATTTAACTTTGGATCATGTTTAAATCGATTTCTACTTGATATATGCACATATGCAAGATATTTAAAAATCCTTAAATTATCAAGATCAACGAGGTTACTTGTC